TTATTCGACTAAGCAAGAAAATGTATTACCACAACTTTTTCAATGAGAATACTACCAATATTAAAAATATTTGGAAAGGAATCAACTCCTTGATTATCAACAATAAAAAGTCTAATAAGCAAATAAATGCCCTTAAACTCTCAAATACTAATTCAATAACACAGGAGAGTGATAAAATAGCCAACTTTATGAATAATCACTTTGTTTCAATTGGACAAAAACTTGCCGCTGAAGTCCCTGATTCTAGGTCACRCTTTGGTGATTATCTCCAAGATGTTAATATGCCTAACTCCTTTTTCTTTACTTCAATCACAAAAGATGAAGTAGAACAACAGATATTTATGATGCCAATTAACAAGGCGTATGGACTCTATTCTTTCCCTGTCTCTATTTTGAAGTGCGCTAAACATCTACTGAGTAAACCTTTAGCCGACATTTATAATTAATCTATAACACAAGGTAAATATCCTTCCAAACTTAAAATATCTAAAGTAAAAACTATTTTCAAAGCTGACAATGAAAAAGATCCAAATAACTATAGACCTATCTCTCTATTGTCTAATCTTAAAGGGCAACTCCCGGCGTAAAATGTCTTTTCCAAAATGTCTATCAAAGGTCACTAAAAGTATTTTTCGCTCGGCTATCAAAAACGATCATTTTTGGATCACGTGATCACGTGACGTCACAAGTGTGTAAGCTGAAAACATGGCGGACGCTTCATGTTCATCGAGTGATTCTTTGAGCTCTTCAAGCCCTTGTTCTTCTCTAAGTACTAGCAACGAGTCCTTAGAAAGTTTTCATGGTATTCAACCTTGGAGATATGAGCCATCGGGGCCTACTTCTGATAACGATTCAGCTTCTAGCGAAGATTTAGAAGCTGTTGTTGAACGAGACCGTCTTCAGAACTCTGATTGGTAAGGGTAAAAAATTACGTCTGTATCTGAAGTCCATGTCAGTTCTTATTTATTCTTTTACAATGAAATGATTTTATGTATTGGTTTAAGCGAAATTAAAACAGATTCAACAAATTTATCTTGTTCTATTGTAGGATTATAGTAGCTTATAGTGCTTAAAAATCTTACTTTCTTCGATAACAAATTTTAATTTGTTAAAAGTCATAAATAGATAACAAGCTGATATACCGACCGCTTCCAAGAAGAGTATTTCATATCTGAAATGTTTTTTTTTTTGATATTCATTCAGGTGTCAATGTGATAACTGTCAGGTTTTAGATAGAGTAGAAGAATGTGTGTGTTGCCAGGAAATACCACAAATCGTGGCAAAGTTGAATGAAGCTGTGGAGCGTGAAAATCTAACAGAACGCCCAACATGCATCACACAACACCCTGGGTTCCACCCAGTCTGCATCAACTATTGGAATCAGCAGGCTGTGTGGTTCCACTATTGCCAGCAATACAACAAACGGCAAGATGGGCCAGAACATAAGAAAAACAGGCACATTKCATATAGACAATTAGTGAGGTGGTGTTGGGGATTTCTGGGGAGAGAGATTAGAGTGCCTTTACCATCATGTGCTGTTTGCTGCATCAGGGCACATTTCCCACCACCTGGACTAGAAGAAAATTTTGTATTTACAGGATTTAGATTTAGCGATGAGTGAAAGATGTCAAATACTAAACACCATTTAACACTTGATTGGCTGATGTGCTTTAAACCCTRTGGTATCTTCACATTTGGTGTTTTTGATAGTTAGTTTACGTAGATATGACATTGTCACTCAAAGGCTCTGTAGATCAGCAGTCATCTCAACAAACCAATACATAATCAGAATGTCAAGCAGTGATTGACACACTTTACTGTAAAAGGCTATTTTTTATGAAATTTATACCAAGGCTGCAGTAATCCAACCAGAACAAGACACTGTAAACAATCTTGTCATTGGTTAGTTTGGTTTAGTCTACATCTCATAATTAGCTTTTTGTTGTGGGTAATTATTTTATTGCTTTCATGTATTATTTTAAGTGTAATTGCCATTTTGCAATATGACTGCCATCAATCAAATTTTTGTTTAGAAAACTAAAGAATTGTTTTATATGTTTTTGAATTATTTGTTTTCAAGAATTATGCTATTTTTTTAGAAGATAGGTATTTGATTGGTAGCAGTCAAAACTCAAGAAATTATTTACCATCAATTTTTTTTGATGTGCTTGATGAAAACGAGTTAGGAACACTTGTATTTTGCCTTGTTTATATTATATATATGTGTTAATTTTCATTTTTTCTAAAAGTGTGGTATTAATTCTGCTATTTGTAGTCGATATATCTTTTTAGTGAATGAGACTTGAAGAACTGTAACGGCTTACAAAATCTGCTATTGCCTCTTCCTTGTCTGGCCTTTGAGCTGATGCAGCAAAAGGGCAGGTGGAGTCTCAGCTTTTCGATTGCCCATATACCATTTAAGCTGTGCTGGATTGCTCTTGCACTTTGTAAAGACTTTTTGTGATATTTTGGAAACATAATCTACATTCAAAGGTG